TGTGGGGGTGAGGGGGGTGTCCTTCACTACTACTTCACCCACCTTCTCCCACATCAAACAGGCTGCTACGGCCCAGAGAATCTGCAACATTCTGGCCAGATGTGAAACCCTTCCCTTTGACGGGGGAAATCTCACGTAGAGAATGTGGCTCCCAGGGGATGTGAAAGGTCATTTGTCAACTACTAACTGCATACCCTGTGTGTCTAGCACCTACAACTGGCTGAGCTGGCCTGGTGGAAGGGGCAGTGGCATTTTGCCTGCAGCGGATACTCAGGGAGGCCCCACCCAGAGACCCAGGTGAGGCTGCTGCTTCTCTCTAGATCAAAGGCTAGCCTCTCCATATGAAGAATCTTCCTACATGAGAAGCAGGTTCCCACACAGAATACTTCCAAATTATAGAAACAAAGAAGGGTGTTTGGAGATACCTACACTACTTAGCTCTGAGTTCTCACCAGCCTCATTTTCTGCTGCCCAGGGGCTGACTCCTGGCCACTCAGGATGCTTTCCTGCTATTAGGTTCACAGACCAGGAGGCAGTTGTTCTCCGTTCTCTTTAGCCTCTGTATCACCAAAGGTCGCACAGCTTACCTGGCTCCATCTGGGAGAAGAGACATAACATCACCAGCAGAACGTAATGCGTTTTCATGGTGGCTGCACTCAGAGTCCAGAGTGTGGCGAGGACGCGAGAATGCTGGGTAGCTCAGCGGCAGAGGCATCTGGAGGCTTGCGTGTGCTTGTTTTTATAGGGACGCTGGATTGCATAACCTCCTAAAGGAGCTGGAGGGAGGTGTTGCAATCCAGAGTGAAGCTCTAAAAGCGACACCTCAGATCATTTGCCATGGAAGCGTTGAGGTCCTGTGGGCACGGGTCACCTCTCCCCAGCTCCAGATCAACTCTGATGTCAGCCTGGAAAGTGAAACTAGGCATTGTTTCCCAGGTTAGGGGTTCTGAGGGGATCCTGGGAGCAAGGCAGCTCACACCAGGACCTCTCATATGACTCAGAAGCCCAGAAACCCAAGCAGGTGAACGTCTGGCTCCAGGCTGGTTTTAGTCCCTTCCATTTAGCTGCTTTCCTTTACACTGGCTCAGAATTCAAGTTCTGGGATAAAGGTGAACCGGTTGCTGGGATGGAAGCTATTCCTCAGCAGCAGTTGAGGTCGCTTTCTCATCTCTCTCCTTAGGTAGACCTTACTACCGAGGGACCAAAATCAGCTTGTGTTTCCAATTGGACATGTGTTCCTGGGATTTTCCAAATGGTGCTCTCCAGATAATCAGCTCTCAGTCAAGCTGCAGCAGCATCTGGGATGAGTCCAGGGAGGTGCACCTGTCTACCTGGAGCATGGCCTTAGCTAGTGTCTAAGGATCCCCCAAGCATTCAGTGATTTTAAAGATTTAAAATATTTTGTTTTCATTAATTTTCCAGTGCAATTCTGTAAGCTATGTTTCTAGTATATTATGAAGAATCATATCTGTAAGAAGTGGTGAAGGGCTCTAACCAACAAGAGCAGAGTTTACTTAAGAGGACATGGGGCAGCTCATGAAATCATTGATGGAGGCTGAAGAATTGGGCTTGTGATTGACCTTCCACGAACAGGATCCAATCAGTGCCATAGACCTGATCTGACGAGGACTTCGAGGTGCAGCCCACAGGCATGGGATACCAGACCAGGCATATCAGAAGCTACTGCCGCCTCAGTAAAATATCTTTCTGGGCTAAGGCATTGACACTCCAGACGTATCTATGGTTAGATGCAGATATGGATAGACAGCTGTAGAAGGAGACAGAGAAAGATACATAGAAGCAGAGATGAAGATAGAGAGCGAGCTAGAGGCAGAGACTGAAAGAGCATCAAAGATCAAGAGAAGCTGAGGGAAAATGACAGAGACAGACACAGAGACTGATACGCATTTAGAGAGGCAGAGACAGACAGAGTCAGGGAAATGCCAGAGATGGTGAGGAAGAGATAAACACACAGAAACAGAAACTGAGAAAGATTTAGTTGGAGAGATGAGTTTCTCACCCAGCCGCAGCTTGGCCCTGCTGTCTGTCTAGCCTTTGGTCAGAGTCTGGATGCTTTCCTGGGTGGCAAAGTCCCAATCAATCCTAAAGTTGACTGCAAGCAGGTCTGGGAAAGCGAGGTCACTGACTGTTTTTTCAACAGCTCGGAGGGCTTTTTTTTTTTTCCCCACCACTTTTCTGACACAGAGGATTCTCCAGATAATCAAATACAAGGTTCTGGGTACCTCCTATGAGCTGTGTGGTTCTGGTCAAGGTCATTGATTTGTTCATGCCCTCATACAAGGGTACCCACTTTATTCCCATTATGTGCCAGGCATAGACTACTGAGAAGAAAAGCCTTAAAGAGCTTCCTTTTAAAAGTGCTGCTGGGGGACAGATGAACAGAGACGACTTAGGGTGAAGCTGGGCAGGGTCTCTGATGGTATCATCTGGGTAGAAAGTAAAAAGCCCAGGAGGTCAAGAGTTTTGAATCCCTGAAGCTGAGCCTGCATGAATCCTGTCTGGTGGGGCACTGCTGACTGTTCCTGAGGATGTCTCTTCAGAACGCTCGAGGAAATGAAGAGACGAGACAGAACTTTTGGTTCTTTTTCTGTCTTCGTTATTGTGAGTGTCCAAATCCCACCAGGAGGCAGTTGCATAGAGAATAGACACGTATAGTGACTCTTTGGGTCACTATATCGCTTCAGGAGGCAGAGGCAGTTAGCATAGAGGTTGGAAACGTACCCTCCTTGGGTCATTATAGCACGTGCTTTATGTACTGTCTGCATCTGTATGACTTTGGGGCCACATTTCAATTTTCTTCTGATGGCGTTTTTCTTCAGAGAATGGCTGCATTCATGTAAGTCATTTTGTGGGTGAAACAAGATAACTATTTTTTTAACTCAAAATTCTATTGCCAGGCATAGTGTAATCTCTATTTTTGTAGGAATTGAGGTAGTGAAAGGAATCAATACCTAAAGAAGATAAACCTAAACTGCTCTGAACCTTGGAGACGTGTTTTTCTAAGGCTATATTCACAGAAACTTGCCACCCTATGGCCAGATTTTTAGTTTAGTTTTCAGAAGGAGCCCACATCCAATGCAGGAGCCTCCCTGTTACCCCATGCCCTCAGCAGCACATGGCGGGGACGGAAGAGATGGGTCTTTGCTTGGTCCCTCCATAAGACAAGGACCAGGGACCACCCTGAAGGCTAGGTGCAGAGGGCAGGCCAGAGGGCGGGAGGCCCCCAGCAGCAGTATGTGTCTAGAGGATTCGTACTGCTCCAGATATACCATCTGCCTTAACACAGAGTATCATGGTGGCACCAGAGGGGTCGGGTTCTGACTTTCCTCCATCAAAGATCACTAAGCCATGGCTCCTGCCATCAGAAGTCCCCTGTGGGGTGTGTGTGTGACAAGGGAGACTCCCATTTTACCCCTCTTCCCAATAACTTGCCTGCTTATTTGTTACAATGCCTCTAACTTGGGCAGTGTCTCTCACTGGCATATAAACATACTTGTTAGCTAGTCAGTTGCCTGGAGGAAGCCAGTCAGTTGCCTGGAGGTAGCTGCAAGCTATGATCTGACAGGTAGGACCAAGGGTAGACCCCGTGGGTCTGATAACATGGATATCAACTTTGCACAGTTTTAACCAGAATTGTAACTTAATGGCAATTCACTTAGAATTATAACCTTATGAGCTAGAGGGAACAACCAGAAGTTACTCCAGGGATTATCCATTTTCCATAGGGACTGATGGTCCTATTGAGATCTAATCAGGGCTATGATCTTACCTCATCACTACCTGAGCAGTTGTGATGTCAGGCCTCCTGAACAATCTTTTGTGTGAGAAAGAGTTTCTGGGAGTTAGGAAAGACAAAATGAATCTAATTCCACATAATCAGATGTTTTGTGAATATAAAAATAATTGCATAGTGAAGAGATTTATTTGGTCTCATCATGAACCTAAAGGAGGGCATTGGGAGGGTTTACTGAGCTTCCCAAGTAAATAGTCCGTGACTCACCTGTTACAGCACTGGGACTGGGTCACTCCACCTGGGCTGGGGGTGGAGGATGTCACCCAAACAGTCTTTAACTTACTTTTCACCTTTGACCCTGGCTCTAGTTTCTCTGAGTTGTGGAATCTAAGCACACGTAGGTCTCCCCAGGGTCTGTGACCTACAGAGATCTGCATTTGTTTCACATCGAATGAAACCTTTTAAAGATTAGGGTTAAGCTGTTTCCTCAGAGATACCTCTATATCATCTGTATTTATATCCACGGTAGGATTTTTAATGCTGGGCACTGACTGAGCGCAGAGTCTGCTACATGCACACACTCTAACATCAAACTTCCCCGACCCCTCAATGTGTTTCTTCATGTTAACAGTGTCGAAAGCAAAGGTATTTGAAGGCATTTTAGAAATTCAAAGGATGATTTCTCATCCAGTTTATTTGAAGCAAATAAGGAATTGTAAGCCCTCAAGGAAGAAGTGACTCTGCCTTGTCTGGGCAACGATCAGCCCCGTCAGAATCCTCCGAAACCATTTTCCTCTGTAGCTCACATTTCCCTATGGAGTGGTTTTTGTTAACTTTCCAAAAATTCGAAGAGACAGTGAACCCAGGAGACTGAAACTGCTCCAGTCAGGACTGGGCTGGTTCTGAGCCTAGGGAGGAGGAGCAGGTGGTCTGGTCGGAAGCATGAAGAGGTAGGAGGTCAGCCCTGAGGCCAGAACTGGCTAAGCAGGATCTCAGACAAGTTATAGGTCACCTGCCACCCTCAGACTCGATTGTAGATATTTTATGTCATATTATGAACCAATCTTCAAGATAGGCAGCCCTTTGTGAAGCAGCCTCCAGGCCAGAGACTCCAGCAACAAAGTTCCAACATCTTTTTAACATTCTTCAAATGACCACGGCTGACTCAATGCCATTGCCTTGTGGTTTTACACTTATTAAAATGTATTTTCTAGATTGGAAAGTGCATACCTTTTCAATTTTGACACTTTTAAGTTAAGGTGACTCTTATAATGTTATAACTGGTGTGATCTAGTCACTTCCATTGTCCTGGTTCCCAATCCATGACAAACTGTAAACCTTACTTCCTTGGTACTTTTAAGTTAAAGAAACACTTCATCTTCATTTCAGCTCCATAGAAAATTATGATGTGAATTATTTATGCTTTCTTCACAGGAGTGTTAGGCTCCAGGGTGCTAGGCATATGATCCTTTGATTATGTATTCAATTAATATCAACAGTGAGCATCTTCGTCATGATGAAGCCTGGCCTGGATCAAAGGGTTGCAAAGTAGAACATGAACCTGGTCCCTGTCCTCAGGAGCTCTTAGACTTAGGATATCAGTGAGATGACTAATTAGAAGAGGCCAGGGTAGGGCTAAGTGCTGGGCTCTTGGGGAGCTCCTGTGGGGACTTGACTGGTCTCTGTGGAGGAAGTGGCCTTCCTATAAAGGTAAGTAAGAGGTCCTAGTGATTTGAGGCACCTGTGTGATATGTTCTACGGGCCTAAGATGCTAAGGAAGCCCACTGTGGAGGAGGCATGGGTTCTGTGGGTCTCATAGTCCCAGTGTTGCCTTGAGGACTTGCCAAACCTCTTGAATCTTTACTCTCCCAGAAGGAATGGAAGGTTGCTATGGGTAGCAGATAAAATAAGGCTGGTCAAGAACTAGCTTAGGTTGATTATTCGAGTATCTGGTGAAGTGATGTCAAACCCAGGAAACACTAGAGGAGGGGAAGAGGCAGAGGGCCTGGGCCTGCCGAGGTTC